TCACTACGTTTAAATAGGTTGACTTGGGACATTTTTTTCGTGGTTTTTGTATTAGACCCGTCGTCCATTTGTTTGTAAGTCAATGGTGATAGTTGTTTGTTCACATTTTTGATCTCGAATTATATATTAGGGTATACACCATCCAAAGGTTGAATAGTTATTTGTTATGCAAGGCTGCATAGCCGTTGTTTGACGCGTTGAAACCTGAACAAGCGAAGGAAGCTAAGATTAAGATTATTCCCGAGGGTTTCAAGGCACGAGACGCAAACTAACTAACTTTGCTGCCGAGCGAAACACACAACTTTTCACTCACTATAGCGAGGAAAATGGAAGATGAAAGAAAAACAGTTAAACTATATGACATCAGTTTTTTAATTATTTTTTTTCTTCTTTCCATAAAGGAAAAGGCAAAGGTTTTACACCATACAGCCAAGTCTTAGTATATTATTCTTTTTTGGTACATGAAGTTGAATTATGTTTCTGTAAATATGGACGCCACAAAGAGGATAGGCAATTTGAGGCGGCGTGCTTGGATTGACTCGGGATTCGTATAATTTCGCGTTTTAATCTTCGATTAAGGCACAATAGCACTATCCTATTCCACTTTAAACAAGATTTCACAAAATAATTGAAAGTCAAAATAAAAACGACACTTTTCCCTCCAAAAGGTCCAGAGCGAATGAAAAACAGTTAAATTGTATGACATCAATTTTTTTAATAAAAACAAAACAGTTTATCTTCGGATGCGTTCTGAATTTACACCTCATCAATTTTCATTCTTGCTTGTACTTTAATTTAGTGTGATTATCAAAATTATTTTAGTTATTCAAAGAATTAAAATAATTTAAAGTAAAAATGCCAACAGATTTATATTACATAAATAAATAATGTACAACAAATCGTTTAGTTCTTTATCGTGTATCTTTTTTTTTCAACGAAAGAAATAGTTACTTCGAATTTCAAAAACCTTTTTCCAAGCCTTTCCGAGCTGGTGAGGTGAAAAAGTTATTTAAAGTGATTGCTTGACTCGATCATTAGTAAGAAAAACAAAATTGACATATTTCTTTGTTTACAGGCTGACGATGACAAATGCCAGATCTTGTCACCCAAGAAAGTAAGTTTGATTTATATTTTATATGTACAAATTTTAACGCCTCATTTCAACTTCTGTTTAGGATACCTTTTTTTTTTTAATTTATTTAATACTTTTACAAAAACTTAAACATATTACAAGCAGCTGTAGCTCAAAAACCACTAAGGGTTTATCTGTCCACAGCGATTAAACTTTAAATTTAAATTAAAGCGACCTAAATTTCCAATTATTTTTCCTTTACAAATTTCAGGTTATTAGCTTCAGTACTTGCATTGGTGCGATAAATTAGTGTTTGTATTCCTTGTAAATGAATGAACGGAATTAATTTATGAATGATTTCATTTCCATATTTCTGCTTTAGTGCACATTAAGATTTTATTTATTTTCTTCTGTGACAAAATGGCGCGCATCTAGAGTTGAACAAGCGCCCGGATTTTAACTCGGCGCTTTATTATCTTAAGGTTTAAATCGAGTTAAAACCCATTAACGCCCAAAATGGCGTGCAAAAATTATTTACAACTTAATATTTGTTTTAAATCGAGTATTGTTCAAATATTAATGATAAAACTACAAAATTTTATTGCTTTCTGATTTAGACGATTCGAAGTTCATGATAGAAGTACTTTTAAATAGAAAACCACCGCGAGACTCTGATATTATTATATATATAAAACTACAAGTTCTTACTAACTAATAAAAATAGAACGCATACTTCCCGTTAAGGTGGAAAAAAAATATTTGTACCGTTGTACGCGGATAGGCTCCAAAGCAAAGAATCAAATATGAGATAACCTGAATATGGAAAATATGAAATGCAAAAGCTATAATATATGGAGTGAATATTTGTGCATTTTTATGAAGTACACCCTGGTCAATTTCCGCGGGAGTAAAAAATTATCGAAATTCAAATAAACAAGATGGCCGCTATACAAATTTCAAAGCCTCCTATCACGGAGACTATTAGAGATAGGTAGGAGGTGCTCGAAGGAATGTCATAGAGGGTAACACTGGTCAACTGCCAGGGTTAAAAAAATTCAAGATGGCGATTTCAAAATGGATGCCGCACAAAAACTTGCTACGATCCGGCTGAAAATTGGCATGCGAAGGTCTTTAGGAGTCCTTAATCACAATTTGGGATCAAAAATTGCTTTTCGCCATTTTTTAATATGGCTGCCATATAAGTGTTATTTTCGTTAAAAGTAAGAGCCGAAAGAGATTTGTCTGATTCGACTGAAAATTGGCATGTGAAGGCTACTAGAAATAATAATTTGTGCTCAAAATTAGTTTTTCGCTATTTTCAAATATGACCGTCACAGAAGCGTTCGTTGGCGGCAGAAAAAAAATTGCTCAGATCCCTTTGAAAATTGGCATATGGGGGTCTCTAGGAGTGTTTGATAATAATTTGTGATCAAAATTGGTTTTTCACCATTTTTAAATATGGCTGCCATAGAAGCGTTTTTGGCGGCAGATGAAAATTTGCTCTAATTCTATTGAAAATCGGCATGTGTGGGAGTCTATGGGTGTTTAATAATAATTTGTAGTCAAAATTTATTTTTCGCCATTTTTTAATATGGCTGCCATACAAACTTTTTGGCGGCAGATGGAAATTTGCTCTAATTCAGCTGAAAATCGGCATGTGGGGATCTCTGTGTTTAATAATAATTTGCAGTCAAAATTTACTTTTTGCTCGGCCGTAGGCCGAGGTGTAGCGGGGGGCGAAGCCCGAAGCGTCCGCACGCCACCTTAAGTAGGTAGTATACGGAGACTATTACGGTACAAGATTTCACAATTGTTCAAAATGTAAGGCATACTTCCCGATGTAGTGGAAATAAAATATTTATAGCGTTGTTGTATCTCGACCGTCTCTTTGTTAGATTCTTTTTTCTTGGAAGCTATGCCAAAAAGAGAAGTTTAAGGAAAAAATGCCAGACAATCATTCCAAATTTCTGATTTCAAAGTAGGGAATTTCCTGTACTGCGAGTACCACAGTAACGATAATTCTGAGGGCAATACCCAGAATACCCTGACCAGAACCAATTAAAAAATATTTTTTGGTTCAAATCAGGGAGCGAGTCTGGAACCTCCTCATCAAGCGCCCATAGTACTTAATCACTGTGCCAACGAAGAGCATAACCACACCCCATAATCCGAAACTGACCACGCGCCGCAGGTCGAGCTATAGGGCTCGTATTAACTAAAATGACGGAAAACTCACATATTTAAGTCGAATTTCGAATTCACTTTCTGTCGAGTCGTTGCCGCGGAACCTCATGATTTTAGTTAGTAGAGGTACTTACTGCATACGGCCTTATTCCATCCTCATCATGTTACTCCGTATCGGTGACTGAATATCACCACACCATTTAGTCAGAGATAACCTGTTTTTATTCCAGTAACTAATACGTATTTATTATTTTTAGTTCGTCATCTTTGAAACACCATAGATGCCACTTGTAAGTACATAGTTTCATATAAATTTTTATTTTTTATTTAAAATTTTAGGAAATACTAAATTTTTTTTTTTATAATACCAAGTAACGAAGGAAACATGGGCCTGGTGGTAAGCGACGCGCCTGTTCATAACAGTGCCACTCACAGCTTTAAACCGCAAAAATCGGAGGGCACTGCTAGTGCGCCCGTCACCCTAAGACATAAGTTGACAAGTGCCATGAGCCCATAATTTCCTGCCGTAATTAACTTCCTCCGAACCTGAGACTTCGATTCCCGGGCCGTAAGAAATGGTCTGCATTTATTTCTCTCGTGAGTTTGGTTGTAATTTGTGTTTAGAATATTTTTTAGATTATATATATAATATAGAACTAATATTAGTTGGAATAGTTTTTTGCGTAAGCGCCGGGACAAACACACATGATCTTAAAATTGAAATACAATATTATAAACTTTACAGCAAAAGTTAAAACAATTACAATGATAAAAAAAATGTAAAATGATGATAAATGCGTGTCGCGGCACACGCAAACGGGATATGATCAGCTATTAGCTACAGACTGATTTTCAGCCTGCAGCGCTGGTTTTTAGCAACCCCGATACGAGTGAAGCACGGACTCGACCGCAAACAAAACAAATACATACATAACAATGTGCGTGAAACTTGATATATACTAAAATATTTACACTAAATATATAATACGAATACATGGATAAGTGTGAACTAATTTAATTACTTCATTAATAGATATATACATATGTTATATGAAAATGTAATTAATATCGTGTGCAGTAAGTAATAAATAATTTGTGAGAAATAAATTAACATGTATTGCTCGCTCCATGGCTCATGAGTGTCTTTGAGATTTTTTATGAGGCCCATAGTAAGTGACCACGGTCATCCATCCCTAGGTCCCATCCCTAGGTCATCGCAGGCGACACGCACTGCTCGAAGACTTTTGTCTTCAAGAACTGCGGTATTGCGGACCAGAAGACGCCTCGGAGCTCCCCGAAAGCTGCCTAACCGAGTCGTATTCGACGATTGACTCTCCAGCCTAAGAATACTCAATAACCAGGCTTGGTAATGTTGTTTTTCAGTTACAGGTGCAAGCATTACAGACGTTCACACAGCTATCGGTGCTTGAGATCTGCTGTAATGCGTCACGCCGGGCCTACTAAAAGTCAGTGAGTACAAGATTTTATTCATTTATATATCCTTTTTGTTTAATTAACAGATTCTGAATTTGGTCATTTTAAGAACATTTTAGTTACATCTGAAGCATTGACTTACAAATAAATGGACGACGGGTCTAATACAAAAAACCACGAAAAAAATGTCCCAAGTCAACCTATTCGAAATTTAAATTGTAATGTCATCGCAGTATCGCGCTGTCAGTAGAACAAATGAAGACTAAAGCGGAGTTTGGCGCTCTGTATACGATTTTAGCGCCTTACAAGTGCGGACACTTTTTAGCGCGGACCCGACGTCCATATAATTGTAAGTCAATGATCTGAAGTTTATTATCCACCACAACAGTGAGGATATGAGATTTTTATATAACGTACATATACGTTCGTGCGTTCGTGTGTTTATGCATGCGTGAGAGCTTCTGTTCGTGCACAGAACAATAAATGCAGTAGAAGTGGTTAGTTAGCGTCTGGCGCGTGCCAAGTATAGGTCTAAAAGACCTATCTGAGCGCAGTCCGCCATTTTTGCTGTGTTTGGTATGGTTGTGTCGTACTTTCGTGCAAATTCTCTAAAATCCTAGAAAAGTGCCAGATTGTGCTGTTTTGGAGTGCAAAAATGATAGCAGCACCAATAATATTACCCGTGGTGCTATTTCATATCATCGGGAAGTCTTTTTTATGTTTGTCGAAATATTTTTTTTGCTACAAGGGAAGTAAAGCTTATGTCCCGGCAATATGGTCGCTTCTTGTTTGGATAACTAAATAAATAACTCCAATTCGTCGTCGTTCAGCAATGAACCGCTAGATAGCAGCATATTGATTGAAATTTCAATATAGTATCGAAACGTAACTTGTAATAATAGTTAACGGGATTCAACGATGTGCTAACAGGATAAAGTTTAAATTATATTGACAATCCAAAATTTGTTATTTCTTTGTAAATTTAAAACTACGACCAATCAATATCAAGATTTGGTAATGTTTCAAATTAAAGATGTTTGAGTTTTGGCGACATCGGTTTTGAAAATAATCGAGGCCTAAGTGTGAAGCCAGACGAGCGTAATTTTGTGAGTTGTGAGTTGCGCTGCATTCGGTTTCATATAAAAGTACGGGTAGTTTCACACGACGACGAAAAATGAGTTATCTGCCGACTCACGGGCGTGACGACTGATTTTCGGTCGCATCGTGCGTCGGGCTGGCGCGGGTGGAGGTAAGGGTGAGGGAAGGGGTCACTTTGGTATAAGATGTGTGTGAATATAGACGTTTCTTGCGAAAATATTCGATATTAAATATAAGTAATTGAATAACTTACTTGAAAGTTATTATTTAGTCTTTCCTCTGGACTGATGGCTTGTCTCATCTGTATCTGACTTAGCAAAAAAGGTTTTACTAGGTTTAATCATTCTTGAAAAACATTTATTGGTATGTGGTAGTACTTAACAATTGATCTGGATGTTCACATAAACTTGTATTAATATATGAAACTTTTCATATTGAGTGGATCTACCCAGTTTCTTTTTCTTTTTCGAACATCGTCGTCTAATGCTTCATAAATGCATGTACTATTTTTAATGGATCTATTACACTATTACGACACAAACAACCCGTATAAACGCCTAAAAGCAACTGAATAAAATACGTCCGTCTGGCGCTCCAACCGGTCGAGCGCAAAAAAAAAACGCAACTCACAACTCACAAAATTACACTCGTCTGGTCTCACACTAAGGCACTTAATTTTTTTTTTCTTCCGTGTATTCGTGCGTGCGTGCTACTATTTGTATGTGTGTGGAAATAGTTATTTTGGTATTTAGGCTCAACTCACACTGCAGCAGGGTCGAAGCGTCGCGACGCGTCATGTTTTTACGCCTATAGCATATTCATGTCTATTTTCCCATTATTAAGGTACAAATTTCTGTTGTACAAATATGGAGTCGCGTCAACGCTTTGCTACAGACGAGCGGCTTTTTTTTGCCGCACGTTACTTGGGCGCAGTGAGGCGTCTGACGCCGACCACACTGTAATCCGGGCGCACTAATAACACTAACACGCGACGCGACGATTCGAATCTGCGTCAGTGTGAGTTGAGCCTTACAGTCCGCTTAGTGGAAATAAAAGGTTCTTATAATATATCTCTTCTGCTTTCGATGGATACTATGAACTAAAAAATTTAGTTTTATTTTATGGAAAGTTCAAATGAAGTTTTTTATGTAATAATCATCGTAGAAAAGGTTATTTGAAATAACGAGTAGGATGATTTGCTTTTAAGATAACGGTAGGAATACACTTTTTTTTAATAATAACATTATTTCAAAATTTAAATGTAAAATCCATGGTAAAATTTCCTTTCTTATAGAGACTTTTCTTACAAATTTCTATTACATGTGCTTGCTATACGTCTCTAAAATGCCTGTGTACTTTATGTTTCAGATTAGCATTATTTCGTACGAAAGTATATAACATACTGGCCCCTCCATTTCTCAGAAATCTACTTATTAGTAAGTATATTTTAACCGGTACGTGTATTAACAATTGATAGAGTACGTCGGAGCAAAAATGCTATTATTGCTGTAAAAGAAATTGTAATTGTCTATTTGATGATTAAAATTCACATTTGCATGTGATTTATGCATCTCAATCATTGACTTACAAATAAATGGACGACAGGTCTAATACAAAAACCACGAAAAAAATGTCCCAAGTCAACCTATTTAAACGTAGTGACACGTAAAGGAATATGAAAAAGCTAAAACGTTGAATTTAAATTGTAATGTCATCGCAGTACTGTCTAATTTTGCTTGCTTCGCTGTCAGTCGAACAAACGAAGACTAGAGCGTGAATGACGCTCTGTATACGATTTTAACGCCCTATAAGTTCGGACACTTTTTATCGCGGACCCGACGTCCATATAATTGTAAGTCAATGATCTCAATACTCAATATATTTATTGTCTTCATATTGTACATAATGTGACGCCACAGAAAGGCAGACAGACACACAGATACAGACAAAGGTTTGAAACTTATAACTCCCCGCCTTTTGCGTATGAGGTTAAACAATAATTCTAAGAATAATTAATGTCCCTTTTGTAGGATACCAGTCTTACATCATTTCCAGCCCTGTATTACCCAGTGCTGGTGTCGCATCCAACCTCCACGAATGACCAGCGGGGCAGACTACAAAGACAGACTAACTAGATTGACAGGAATTAGAAATTAGACCGACTTTCTTTTGACACGACAAGGTTCGTCCTGCCTAAACCTCTGACGCGAACTAACGACTTTTCCTGACTGGATTTAAAATAAATAGAATAAAATAAGAAGAGATTTATTTCTCCACAAAACATAGGAACCGCAACACTTAAGGACTAATAGAAAATACAATTGAGTGATGTGGGCAAAAGGGTTCAAGACAGCATTGCTGACTTTCAGTCTTCACCTGTAAGCTAGCTATTCGCTTGCTGCACCAAGCTAATATCCGGATTGTATACCAATTAACCGAGCTGAGCAGAGGCCACCTTTCGCTCCTGCAAAATTTTTCGGTCCTGTGCATCTCTTGTCCTGGTTTTACCCGCAACTTTTACTACGTCATCAACACAGCGTGACATTGAACGACCCGGATTTCTTCGGACTGTCCTTGGCCACCATTCCGTCAAAGCTTTGCTCCAACGGCCATCACCACGTCTAACCAGATGTCTTGCTCTACTCCACTTAAGGAAACATCTTGAACGTTCAACAGTCTTATAAATGTCTCTTTTATTCCAGCGGCACCTGCAATAACGTCAACCAAAGCATGTGGCAACAGCACAATCGCCGAGGAAAGATTTGCAATTGCCTCTCACGACACCACGTTCACTGACAAAACTCCAAAAACCACAACTACTATTACTTCTAAGAAACTGAGTAGCAATTCTTAGAGACATTTTGTGCATATACAGAGTAATTTTTAAAATACAAACAACCTCGCATGACTAAGTTTTTTTGTCCTTTTTTAGATCTATATTTGGCAGAATAAAGGACTACTCACATTTGACCATGCCGGGCGCGAGCCGAGTTACGTACAAGGCTCGGATTGGAAATGCTGCTTACGTTTTATATGAAGTGACATGGACGAGTGACGCCCGAGCCTCGGATGCGGATCGACCCGCCTCGGCTCGTAATGTCAACACTCTGTGACTCTTTCTAATTTAAGACCGTGCGTATGTACATACGTGACTCGGATCTCGGACACGGCTCGCGCCCAGCACGGTCTAATGTGAATGAACCTTAAGTTCAAACGTGCTAGCGTCCTCCGCGACGACTTCCACGTGCGTCCTGCATGGTGTTATTACCGTTTAGAGCGATCTATTGAAATCTATTCAATCTATTCAATTTTGTATGAAAATAAAACCTCATGAACTATTAAAGTCATGGAACAAAAGTTGTTGTTTAAGATGTTAGTGATACAGTCCTGCAAGTTTGTTAGTATTATAAAAATTATCCTGTATACAACCAATTCGGAGATAGGGCGCGTGTCCATTATGTCGTGACGACAGATAGTCGTACAGTTTAGTGTGTCTTGGTACAAGCCAAATATTTCAATAAAATTGTTCACATATAACACAACACGATTAACTGTCGTTCATGAGTTTTTTGACGTTACCACGACAGACTGTCGTGACAATGAGAAAAACTAGAACGACTGTCGTCCAACTGTAAATAGAACGTTACGACATAATACGAACGCTTTATTTTTTCTGTACAATACGATAACGACCTTCCAACAATATGTTAAAATAAAAAATGAAGTCGAGCTTAGAAATATATTTTATTGAAATTAATCAAAAAGCGTCATTCTCCTCTTCGTCGTAATATTTATTCGGTAGCCGCTGTCCACGACATCTCGCAAAGAACCCTCGCCGCCACAGCAGAACAGTCACGAAGACTAGCGGAAACGTAGCCAAAATACCTAGAAATAAAATTTTTGATTTTATAATTAAAAGTCCTCGTATAAATGGTGTGTGACAATGATATGAGAGTGTTATCATTGTGTAACCTAGTGCGTGATGTTTTTCACGCGCAGTTTACAAGAGAGGTATAATAAATTCCTCAGTGGAATTATAATACTGTATGATTAACCATAGAGAGACCTTTTGTTTGCAAGAATTTTTCGGGAAGGGAAACATTGTTAAGAAGGTATTTAACTTATGAAGGTAATTTCCAGAAAGCAGAAACATCTGTGAGACAAACCAGTGTAGAATGGCTAGTGCGTAGTAAGGGCATACAGCTCATTTTCTTCGCCTTGTAGCAAAGATTTAAGGATCGTAAGGAAATTGGGAGTACTTTCTAAACGATGATAGAGTATATGCACCTAAATAATGCCTATTTACTGTCGTAACCCTGGTTATTGCATTTAGGAAACAAGTCTGCAGCATTCCACTCCATAGCCGTTCGTCATATAAATGTGGAAGCGAAGAAATCCTAAGAATATCACAATATAGGGGTGAAACGCCAGCCTGCGTGTATTCCCCGGACTATGGAAAGGGGAAGGCGGAATTAAATCGTGCCATTCCCTCGCACAATCTCTGTAATATATTCTGTAGAATAGCGATAAGCAGGCAACTTTACGACGCTGTTTAAGGCTCTGTAGTTTCCCTTCTACTAAATCGTGAGTCACCTGTAAACCTCTTGACACGCTTGCCAACTAAATCCCATATGTAGCAACTGTACTCCATACACGGCCGGATTTGAGCTTGGTACAGCTGAACTAATATGTTAAATAGATAGGACGCTGCAGAGACACATTGTGTAAATGGGGTTTCAGGGATACTAGTCAAACCCAATGTGACTGCGGTGCCCCAACACAGTCCATGCTGCACTTACTGTTGTGCCCCTTGTGTTCTAATACCTGTACGAGGGAATATCTCTACGCGGCCACGGACAGCGCAGTCAAGGTAGTAACGTACTATTCAGGGTCAATATAGGCTTGAAATAAAAGAAATATCAACACGATAAGAAGAAGTATGTAAAATTTTTGTAGATAGTACCACTTTCCATCAGGTCTTTTCCATCGACAATTTGTCTATAGATTTGGGGTTACTGAAGAAATATCGCGTTGAAAAATTGCGTCGCTTATACTGGACTATCTTAAATCTCCTGCTTCTGTAGATCTTCCTACGCTTTAATCTGAAGTGCAACCTTGCTGCTTTGCGATTTTGATGATAGAAACACAGCTACACTCCACTCTGCTTGATGGACTTTATGGCATCCAGTACCGGTTTTTTTACGATTATCAAGTGACGGTGATGGCAAGTAACACTAACTAACAATTTGCAATCTCAAAGACCTTAGGGGTCATCCTGAAACATAAAGTAGCCTATATGCATATAGTTTCACCAGCACCCTTGCCCTTCAAAACCAGTGTCTCAACAATAATCTTGCTACTTCTGCTTTCAATATGAATCAATAAGATGGTGCGCTTACCAATCATGATGCCCAATATCATGGCTACATCAGGGCCAGGACCTTCTACAAGCTTCTCACTCACACGACACTCGAGGGTTTTTGAGAGCTCGTGCAGCTTTGCGAAGGACATCCCTCTGAGGTCGCGCGGCTTTTTGCAGCTACAACAAACTACTTTTCATCATCGAACATTTACATTGATAAGATAACATTTACACTTTTAGAGTTAAAGCGACCCAATCCAAATTCCAACTTTTTAGTGTCTTACATTACATACCAAGATAGTAGAGTCTGGATTAGATACGAAACTGGGTGTGGATTACAAAAGAAACTAGCCAAATAATATAAATTTTGTGTATTATTTTGAATGCGCTAAAACACCTCACAAAAAAACCAACATACTTACATCATGCTATCAGCACTGATGCCACTTCTGTTCATCAACGGTACCAGCACATTCACCATCCACTGGCAGTTGCAATCGCAAATGTAGTTGTTGTTCCCAAAATCCATATTCGTCAACTGATCCCAT